AAGGTGAGTTTTCTGACCTGAAAGATGTCGATGACATGAGGAGACCAATAGAGATTGCGGGAAATGATGACTCCAAGATATCTGACGGAACATGCTATGGAAACTTGTTATCCATTGATAATGACATGCTGACAAGAGTTCATCGTATCAATGTATTGGTCATCCTTCAGCAAGGAAAATAAGACATCGTTACACTTGGAAGGATTCATTCTAAGATTGTGTTATGAAGACCGGTCAGTTATCAGTGAAATATTCTGCATCAGTTTGGGGTACACGGAGGAATCCGAAAACTTCACGCCATGTACAATATCATTGGCATACTTACTGAGCAATCATCAAAAGCATCCTCCTCAGTATACTGTAATCGATGGATGAAACAATTACGTAACAGATTGGTAAGCTCCGGTGGAATACCCTTCTTAGATAGAATGTGAAGAAGTTCGGGCACATCAACACAATCAAAGGCTTCACCATATTCAAAGAAACAGCCGAACAGCTTGACATTTCTGTCCAAGGAAGAAGAAACATAATGAATAAGGGATGCCAACGCATCGATGGTTGACCTGGAGCTGGGATAGGCAAATTAAGTGGAATTAGGTGCATTCAGTTGGGACAACATCTACTGGAGTAAAATCTTTTCCATGATTTTCAAACCAACAGAATTGCAAGCAATTTAGACGTTCCTTTTTTGGGTGGTGGCTTGATAGAGGTCCCTCTCCGGCAGTCTGGAATGCAATGCTGTTCAGTAGGTCAGTGAAAACAGGGGAAAGGAGAACTGCACATTCTGTGAGCACCACAGGTGACAGTTCATCAGGACCACATGGTTTATAAGACTTTAGACCGATGACAGTTTTCAATACTTCTGCTTGATCCGTGATTAAATTAACACGAAGAGCAGGGACGACTGCTGTGAATGGAAGAGAGATGTCGGTTTCAGCATTGTTGAATTGGCGATTGAGATCGTCCACGTTGGCTGCTGGAAGATTCGCTTTCGTTTTGAGACCGCAGAACTGAAACAACATTTTCTATGTATCGTATATACATCGCATGTGCATAAGCGGCGTTTAATCTCCACAGTTCTGTCTTGATTGCTTTCGAATGGTCTCTCACCAAAGAATACCTTTTCACTTTGAAAGCTTGTTTTTTCTTCCGACGTAATCGTTTAAGTGTAGGGGACGAAAACCGCAATCGAGACGAAAGGACAACCTCCTCTCTTCCCACTCTCAACCCCTC